ATCTAGAACATATAAAGAACTTTAAAAAATCAGGCCCCCAAAATTCAAAGACCCAATCCAAAAATGGGCATCTGAGATGAGTACGCACTTCTCAGATGAAGAAATACTAGTGGCGAATACATACATGATAAAAATGTTCAAAAGAAAAAATATTCTACATCATTGTCATTCAAGAAATGCAAACTAAAACAACACTGAGATTCCATCTCACCCCAGAAAGAATGGCTATCATCAAGAAATCAACCAATAACAAATGCTGGAGAGGCTGTGGGGAAAAAGGAACCCTACTGCACTGTTGGTGGGAGTGTAGATTGCTGAAATTAGTTTGAAGATTCCACACAAAACTAGGATTAGAAATTCTCTTAACCCAGCTATTCCTCTTCTGGGTATTTTCCCAGAAGAATTAAAAACATTAGACCACAGTGAAATATGTGCACCCAGGTTTATAGCAGCATCCTTTGTTATAACTAAATCTTGGAAACAACCCAAATGCCCAACAACTGAGGAACAGATAAAAAAGATGTGCTATTTTTATACAATGGAGTATTACTCAGCTATAAAAAAGATAAACTTGAGGCTTTTGTAGGTAAATGGGTGCAACTAGAGACCATACTTACAAGTGAAATAAATCAGACCCATATTGCAAACATCATATTGTCTCCCTGGTGTAGGAACTTGAAAGAGTAAGTAAAACTCAAAACATACAATGGATGATATGAAAGGGAAAGAAACTGATCAAAAGAAGGAACAATTGTGAAGAGGGAAAGAAAAAAAAAGAAAGGAAGCAAAATATATAAATAGATATAGATACATATGTATGTATGTAGAAGAATAGCTGGGATAACTGTATTGCTGATGTTTGATGGTATATTGAAAGGGACAGTTAATGCTTAAAATTTTTTATATTTTGACCAATTTTGCAAGCTTCTATCTGGTGATCTGAGCAACTGATTTGAAGACAACAATAAGCAGTAGAACAACCATTGGTGAATTCCTACCATCTTGTCTAGTGAAACTCTATATTATCTCTAATGTTTTATCTAATAATTATTTTTTATTCTCTTTAATGGTTTGAGCAATCTTCCATTCTTACATCTGGTAATCTGAGCAATGTAGTTGAAGATAACAATAGGTAATATAACAACCACTGTTAATTCCTATCATTTTGTTTTGAAACCCTGAATGACTTTCAATGTTCTTGCTTTGTTTTGTTTATATCTGTGATGTTGGTGTGCTGCTACTGTTCTTTTTTTTTCTTTTACTACTCTCCTTGTTGTTGTTGTTGTTGTTGTTGTTTGTTTTTCTTCCAGTACCAGGAATTGAACTCACGACCTTGTGCTTGCCAGGCAGGTGCTTTTGCCACTGAGCTAAATCCCCAGCCCCCACTACTCTCTTTAAAGTAAAATTTAAAAATAAAAAAATAAAATTAGGGGAAGGGCATGTGTCCTTCCAGGAGATTGATGTTATAAAAGACAAAGACAGGGTGTGGAAGAAAGACAAAGAAAGGCTGTGGAAATGTTCCAGATGAAAGGAAGCTAGAGAAAGGGAAAAGCTACAAGCAAGCGGACCCAGCCTGGATTCTGTAGGGGAAGGGAGTGCCGTAAGGAGGGCTGAGGCCAGCTGTACCTGTCTGTGATGGAGCGTCTGATTTGTGAGCAATGATGCTCGCTGGTTACAGGTAGATGGGGCTGGGCTCTGTACACCGTAGCCTGAAGTCGCTGCGATGGAGCACGGATCAGACACAATACATCAGTGTGACTATGTGAGGTTGACAGCTGCACTGTGGTTCAGTAAGGGAGCGTCCTTATTGTAGTACTGTACTCCCTGTGTTGTAGTTAAGTGTTTAGCACAATGTAGTGGTGAAGGGGAAAGCTATAAGGCCTGTGTTATGGTTTATATCTAGAAGTCTCCCGAGAGCTTCACGCACTCATACGCGGGGCTTTTGGAAGATTAGATTATGGGCCACGATAGCTGACTCGCTGTTAGGAGGTGGAGTCTGGTTGGAAGAGGCGGTCACTGGGGGCATGGCCTGAAGGGTGTGTCTCCCTCCCAGGCTCCTCCCTTTTCTCTCTGCTTCCGGGTCGCCATGAGGTGAGCACCTCTCCTCCTCCAGGCTCGTCCGCCATGCTGATGACCGTGCCAGCACTGAAACTTCTAAAACACGAGCCAAAATAAACTTCTGTTCTTTTAAATTGTGGGTGTCAGGTATTTTGTCCCAGCACTGAGGAAAGTGACTAAAATGGTATATAATTTACTTTTAAATTATTCCGATAAACTGGGTGTAGTGGCATACTCCTGTAATCCCAGCACTCAGGAGGCTGAGGCAGGAAGAACACTGTGAGTTCAAAACCAGCCTTGGCTACATAGTGAGTTCAAGTCCAGCCTGAACTACATAGTGAGAACCTGTCTCAAAAAGCAGACAAAGCATTATTCACAAAAATGTGTATATATATATGGTATATGTGAAACATGCATAGATGTACACATGTGTGTGATTGTATATATTTATATATAAAAGTATATACATATATGCTATACATTTATAGGTGGGGAAAAAAGACACTTATCACAGTGTAAAGGGAATAAAATGTCTCGGTAGGTTGTCTAGACTGACACCATAAGCTTAATTACACGCCCTCCTTTCGGTCGTGGGTGTCAGGTATCGTGTCCAGCAGTGGGAAAGCCGGCTGACCCCACCGTACTTAGAAGCTGACAAGGATGGACCAGCAGGCTGGGAACCACAGAGGCACAGGTCCCTCGAGCCGTGACCCAGCGCAGGCACGGAGAGGCCCCAGGGCATGAGGTGCACAGGACTTTGCCCTCTGGAAGCCTGGGTTTGAAGACACCTTCGTGAAGCCTGGAGAGCTCTCACTTTTAATCCACTGATATTCAGAGACCAGAGTGGTTACTCACGCGGGTCCTCAGGAAAGGCCAGTTCTGGTGAAGACCGAAGAGAATGTGGATACGCAGTAGTTCTTGGACAGGCACGGCCGGAGCACAGGGGCCAAGGGGAAAGTGGATGGGGGTGGGGCAGCTGGAGGACCCCGCCCCAGCTTGGAGGAAGGGCAGGGTGAAAGTGCAAGTCCGCGTACTTACTTCCTCTCTCCGTCTCTCTCTCTCTCTCTCGACAGGCCTTGCCAACCACAGCTCACAATGGCCTCTCGCAGCTCTACAGTTTCACCCATGATGGCCAACATCACAAATGTCACAGGATTCCTAAATCCAAAGCGTTTGCTTCCTGTTTGACTGGAAGGAACACAAGTTTCAGCTCCAGAAATATTCTTATCCGGCCCACAGGCCATGTTCCCAGTGCTGCTCATCCCTGGAATAAACAAATGACAAGAGAGGGAGAGAGGAAGAGAGGGAGACACAGAGAGAGAGAGAGAGAGGAAGAGAGGGAGAGACAGAGAGAGAGAGAGAGAGGAAGAGAGGGAGAGACAGAGAGAGAGAGTGCGCGCCCAGGACAGTAAGGGAAAGCGGTGTTTCTGTGAGCATCACACCTGTCAAAGGTGCAAAGAGAAAAAGAGAAGCCCGTAGGATAGAAAAAGCGGGGCGCCCTCTTGTGGCTCTGACTTGGACTTGCCGCTTCTGGTTGCGAGCTGGGCAAGTTGCTTCCCTTTAAACGTCAGTGCTGTGTGAAACAGGGGCAAAACGCCCGCCTTTAGGGCGGTCCTACCGGTTAAATAAGGCCTTGGTGCAAATATCCCACCTCGACGTCTGCCTCGAAGAGCTCGATCCACCGTAGCTACTAATACTACTATGCTTGTGATCGCGGCTGAGCAAACGCTCCTCAGCAGAATACGGTGTTGCCTCCACCCAAACACCCACAGAATTCAACCAAAACGGCCATATTTAACCCCAAATTAGTTTTGTTCTCGACTACTGTCCTTGAGTACCTTAAATCTCAACTTCTGAAAACAGAAGCCCCATGCACGCCTCATTTACTGGCTTGTCTTGAGCAGCATGTCAGACCCTAGAAAAGAAATTACAGCTGGTGTTAATCAGCATGTGACCGCCTAGCCCGCGAGCGCCTTCCGCTGGAACAGGAGGCTGGTGTGAAATAACGAGGTGCTGTGTTCGTGCACACCCGCGCGGCCGTGAGCACACCCTTACTCGGCGTGCGTGCGGGCTCCTTGTGCTACAAATGCTCATGGATCACCTCGGGGGAGCGGGGCACACCAAGCTCTGCTCTCTGGGGCTGGCACCCACGTGACACAGGGGCACAAACTGGACTTGAAGGATTAAGTCACAGAAGAGAAAATGGCTCTTGACTCTCGGTAGTGCGTGGATCGGGTCTTGAAGGACGAACAGGAGCTCCCTGAAGGGACGGGGAGAGCATCTCTACGGCGGGAAAGAAGGCGTGGAGGGAAGGGACGAGCGTGTGGCAACCCTGGAGCCTGGGGGCTGCTGTGCGTGGCAGGGAGTTGGAAGGAGGCCGAAGAGTCAGGCAGGGCCTCGCTGTGACGGAGGGCTCAGTCCCCTGCCTCGGCACACGAGCCAGCAAGTCCAGCCTGCCGAGGCCCATTTCACCGACATGGGACGTGAGTCCACCTGAACAAGGAAGCAGCACAAAGAAAGGCAGAGCTGAAAGGCCAAGAAAGACAGAAGCTGGGCTGCTTGACCCAGCCGTGTCTCAGTTCCTTCCCAGACTTAGATATGTTAGCCAGCGCTGGGGATTTAGCTCAGCGGCACAGCACCTGCCTGGCAAGCGCAAGGTTGTGAGTTCGGTTCCCGGTACCGGGGCAAAAAAACAAAACAACAACAACAAAAAAATGTTAGCCAATAAATCTCTGTTTTTGCTACTTCATCTGGGAGGATGCTATTGTTTGGGTCGGGAACGTCACCTGAAGGTCTGCGTGTTGAAGGCTTGGTCCCCAGCCTATGTTGCCACTGGAAGGTGGAAGAAAGTTAAGGAGGTGCTGCTTGGTGGGAGGAAGTGAGGTCACTAGGGACCCGGGCCTGAGGAGGAAGTGATGTCATTGGAGGCATGGCCTTGAGGAGGAAGTGAGTCTCTAGGGGCATGGGTTTGAGGAGGAAGTGATGTCATTGGAGGTGTGGCCTTGAGGAGGAAGTGAAGTCCTCAAGGGGCTTGGCCTTGAGGAGGACATTGAGACCCAACCCTTTCCTTTCTGTCTCTTTTCTTCCCCACTGCCTGCCGTGAGGTGAGCAGCTTGTTCTGCCGGGTGCTCCATCATTCTCTGTCATCTGTGGCAGCCCCAACGCAAGGGGGCAGTTGACCATGGATGGAAACTTATGAAACTGTGAACCAAAATAAACCTTCCCTCCTCCTAAGTTAATTAACTCGGTTATTTCGTCACAGTGACAGAAAGCTAATGCACTTAATCAACATAAATGTGTATCACTGCTGTGGAGCTCAAGATCAGACTGCCAGGCTAGTCAGGATCAGCTTTTTTTTTTTTTTTTTTTTGGCCTGAAGACAGCCTCCTTCCAGCTGCTTCCCCACATGGCAGAGAGTATGCTCGGGTGTGTTTTGTAATAAAGACGCTGAACATTGGACCTAAACCTTCTGACTTCACTTAACCTTAATTACTTCTGTAAAGGCCTTATCTCCAATTACACCAATAAACCTACCTTGGAGCTTAGGGCTTTGACGTATGTCTGGGCAAGGGGACAAATATTCAGCCTGTAGCAATGACAATGTTGTTTTCACAGTTCTTGATGTTTAAGGACCTGCAGGATGGCATTTGCACATAAAAACTATTAAAAGCCTCCTCATTCAGAAGCCAACCACACGTTAGGTGAACATAGGTATTGTAGTAGGGCATAAGGGTGGATCTGTGAGCTGGATATTACCAAATGCAGGAAGTAAACCAAATAGAGGAATAAAATCATCTTTGTTAGAGTGAAAAGGTGTAAAATTGAAGTTCTTAAGTCTCTTCCCAGATAGAGGAATAGGTTGGGGAGAGTTTTCTGCCACAATCTTTTCAAAGCTTAGAGTAATGTTCCCAGGCAACAGTAGGGAGGCTTCTCTGGAAGGAAGAATATAACAGGTAAATCATAACTGTCAACCATATTGTCTTGAGAGATTAGCAAAGCACACTTCTGGGTGTGCCTGGGTGGGTGATGGGTGTGTGCCCATGGGAACCACATCTGGTCCCTGGGTCCCGATCTCTCTGTCACACTTCTGTTCTCTACTTCCCAGCCACCATGATGTGAGCAACTTTGCTCCACAGCGCCCTTCTGCCCTGATGTTTCTGCTTTGAAGCCAACAAAACATGGACAAATCTCAGCAACTGTGAGCCCAATAAACCATTTCCTCCTTTTTCCATTTCATCCTTTCCAATGCTGCAGTGTTGGAAAATAAAAAAATAAAATGAAAAAAGTAAAAATAAAAATAAATAAATAAACTGCAGTGTTGGGTATTTTGTCCCAGCAACAAGAAGCCTGACGGATATGGAAGAGGACCCCTGACTGACGGTAATTAAGCTGGAGACCGAGGCCTAGGCACTCAGTGGCTGTGGTCCCGAGGTCCCCCCAGTCTTTGCATGTCTGCCACACAGAGATTAAGTGCCCTCCCACCCTTTCAATGAGCTCCACTCCCAGGAGACCCGCTTTCTCTCCTATCACCTCGCTGGTGTACTTGTCGCCTTTTGTGGCCTGGCTTCTGGGCTCTCTCTGGCATCCACAAGGCTGTGCCTGCCAACAAGGCCCTGTGCCAGACATTGCCAATGTTTCCCAGTTCCTGGAAGGTCCCCTTTAAACCTACCGAGAGGGAGATTTACAACTCTTAGAGCCCACAAGCTGGCTATTCATCAGCGACAGCAAGATCTGTTAATCCCAGCCTTGGAATACCAATTTCTTTTTATGTCAAAAGTACTTTATGGTTTTATTCTATGAATAAATCTGAGAAAAACCCCTTTGGGGCATATGGCCATGACTCCACTCTGTTGGCAGGAGTCTGAGAATCTAACCTCCCCACAGGGCCTCTTATCCTTTCCAGAATCTTCTTACCTGCTCATCTTCCTCTCCGTGGGTGATAGCACAATTAATCACAGTCACCCAAGGCTGGGGGTCATCCCAGCTCCAAATCCCTACCCTCACTAGTCATTCCCTAGGCCCAGCCCTCTACACTCGACTCCAGGTCAACAGAAAGAGCTGGAAAAATGCATCCAGTCTCATCAGAATCAGCTAATGAGGAGCAGTCACGGCACCAGAATGCAAGAGGTTTGGGTAGGCATCTTGGTCATCTCCCACTGCCTCCTACTTTGAAGGGACTGATAGCCAAGACACCCGGGGCCAGGATTCCTGGGATCTCTGCAGCAACCTGCTCTGGAAACCAACAGCTTTCCTGATTCTTATTCCTAGACTTCTGTAAGTATCTCCCAATATTCCAAGAGGCAGCGGACTTTTTCCACAGGGGGACAGATAATAAATAGTATAAGTTCTGCAGGCTGCACATATCTCTCTAACAACTGCACAGCTCACTGTAACATCGCTGTGCAACACGTGACTGTGTTCCAATAAAGCTTTATTTATAAAAACAAGCATTGGGCCACATTTGTCTCACAGCACAATTTGCCAGTCTGTGCGATATTTAACTTCTGCTTGAACTATTTGCATAGTGATTTCTGCTTTTCTTCTAAACATCTAGGAATTTTTTTCTCCCCTGGTGCCACTGTACTAGTTCCAGCCCCACCATGCTGAAGTTCATTGACTCTGGCATGCAGAGTAAGCTTCTCCATGGATCTGTGTGGAAGGACCAAGTTTGCAACTCTTATTTTCATTTTGTTCCATTCAGGGTGAACTATCAGACTAGTACCTTATAAAATACAATATGAAAATGATTAGAAAAAAATGAGATGAGAAAACATACATAAAATACAAGCTCTTGGTTAGCATGCTTGATCTGGGTTTGATCCCAAGTATCATTTTTAAAAATTTTTAATTACTAAACATTGAAAATCTCTATCAAATTGCTATAGAAGTTAGTGAATTTGTCATTTTAGATACCGTGCTTACCACATGACTTGCCAAGGCAGCCCTGCAGGGAGGAAGCCAGAGGAACCAAAGCCACCATCTCTCTCCTCCCTCTCCTCTATCTCCTCCCTCAGCCCCGTTGGCAGAATCCACTCAGAAACCAGGCAGCAGGGGAGACCACTGATATAGACAGTGCTCATCAGCCGCCAGGAGCAGAAGGTTGGGGCCAGAGCTGAAGGAAGAAAAGCACCAGAAAGATCCAGCCCGGACACATCCCACCTGTCTTCATGTGGCCCAATATGCTGTCTGCACCAAAGAGCTACAGCGCAGCATCTTCTCACCTCAGTCCTTTTGCACATCCTGTCCCCTGCCTGGGAACCTTCCTCTGCTCCATCTGGCTGAGCAAGAACAAGGTTCATGGATCAGGGCCATACAGGGAACAATGGTGTGTGGCTGCTCAGGTCCCTTTCCTACCAATCTCTCTCTCTTTTAGTTGTAAGTCCCACTGCTCTACATATGGAGTGGACAGTGGCCAACATTTGGCTGATGGGTTCAGTTCTTCCTCCAACATTTACTGAGTACTTACTGTGTGCCTCAAATGCTGTGCTAGGTCCTGCAAATACACCACTACACATAAGAAGACAAAGCCCAGCATTCATTCAGATAGGAGGAACACATTTAGGAGGAACAATCAGGTGACAATCGTAACCCTCCCTCAGAGTTGGCCTATGAACACTGAGAAAGCAAAGTTGCTATTTCCCCCTGGCAAGGCCATGCTTCGAGAACACACACATAGCCCCCTTCCCTGGACACAGTGACAGTACCTATCCACAGTAGAATAGTGGCTTAAAAGGAAAAAGAACTGAGAGATGATGGGAGAACATACTGGCTGTTATTTTTGACTTCTAGATCTAGCCACGCTTAAAGTCTACCCTTGAATTACACGAGCAGGTGAGTTCCTTCTTTTTTTTTTCTCAAGCATATTTGGGTTGTATTCCTGTTTCCTGAAATGAAGTGAATCCTGATTATTTCAGCTCAAACTGCACCTTTTTCTGTGTATTTCCTCTGGATTCCTTGTGTCTGTCGGTGGCCTGTTCTGTTCTGAGAACAGATAGAGGAGACATCCCTCTTGGTAGCTTGCATGATGGACACATAAATAATCAGGAACTGGGGGCAAGGGCTTTCATCGATGAATCACCAAGACCTTATGTGCATTAGACACCCAAGAAATGAAATGTTTGTGGGAACAGTTAATAAGGAATTGCTCTGTTCATTGATCCTCAAAACCCAATAGGATATCTGACTGCAGATCTCTATGGAATGTAGTTGTATACACTAGAGAGAGGGACTGCTTTGAGACCAAGAGAGAGTGCACACAGAGGGTCTTCTGTAAGCTGATCTAACAGGAGTCCACATGTTGTGCTTCAGACCAGCTGCCCAGCCTCCTCTGGGAAGGAAGCCCACCGATTGCTATGGGTAGCTCAGTGCAGCTCACTAGAAGCACCCAGCCAGCTTTGGATCCACTTGAAGCAATTTGTGATAGATTATACCTGGAACAGTCCCTGGTATTTGGTGAGTATGTAGTATTTCTTATATGAGATGCGACCAAAAACTAGGGTGAATGTTTAAATTGGTTTAAATTTATTACAGTAACAGACACATTCCCATGAATCCCCCTAAAAGACTCCCTTCTCTTCAGACACACTTATCCCACTGTTTCTGCCGCTTTCTGCAGCAGTTCTGGAAGTCCTCTTTCACGAGTGTCTTTTGTTGTGCTATTGTGGCTGCCTTGGTGTCCTGGATCAGCTCAAAACATTTCCCTTTCCCTGGGCATTCTGGCCAGGAAGAAGAGCCAGAAGTTGGATAGTGCCAGACCCAGTGCATAAAGTGGATGAGGACACAGTGCAATGTTTTACCAGCCTGCCTTTCTCCATTCGATGTCATTTGAAGCAGCATTCACCATATTTTTTAGATATCTCATAAAAACACTCAGGA